TTGGTCCCGACTTTTCAAACTTAGTTCGAAAATGAGCGTACGAATGAAAATCGGCATATATTGCACCATACGACTGTATTCATAAGTTCGAATATTAACATGCGAACAGGTCGGCGTATCTTGCTAATATGACTTAGAATTTTCTAGGTTCGAATGTAAGTGTGAAGTAGTTTCGACTTACTCCATACACGACCTAGAAAGTGCGAGTCTAAGCTCGGCTTTAAAGATTCCTGGGTTAAGGTGATTTCACCATATTGTTCAAAGAGGAACGTACGCAAGACAAGACTTGGCTTTGGTTATTGCCGAGTTAAGTTGATCAGACTTAACTATAGGTGTTGTATCGAATGTCTGGCCAGGACACCGATGTGTAGTAGAGCTCGGAAGCGTTTGTAAAAACAGTAAAGTACAGAGCTCGGGAGCACACGAAAGATGGCTAAAATATGAAGATTTTATTTAGTTATAGCTGGACCTTTGCAGGCTGCCTACATACCCAAAATGGGATCAAATCATTCGTAGTTTGCATTACATAAGAGATAACTAGCTTGGTAAGAGCTCCTTTTTTTGTTTTTTTTGTAGCCCGGGGGCGTTGTGGAAGCCAATCTAGCTATAGTAGCGCTTAAGACTCATTGAGTTCCATGAACGGGGAACTTTGTTGCCAGCCGTTGTTTCCAGACGGTAGACTTCGGGCTTGATGACTCGTCTGATGATGTAAAGTTCTTCCCAAATAGTCCCGAGCTTGCCGACTCGCCATTCTTTCGTGTTCTCGTAGACCTTTCGGAGGACAAGGTCCCCTTTCTCGAAGTGGCGGTTTTTGACCTTCTTGTTGTAGTAGCGGGCTGCCTGATTCTGGTAGTTTTGCATGCGTAGCAAGGCTTCGTCGCGATTTTCTTCCAAAGAGTCTAGGTTGTCGATTAACATCGCCTCATTGAGTTGCGGGTGTTTGGGAGCAAGGGTACGGCAAAGGCTCGGGACACTTGCTTCGGCGGGAACCATCGTTTTGCATCCGTACGCTAAGGAGAACGGGATCTTGCTGGTGGTGGTGTGGGGTGTTGTATGATGGGACCAAAGTACACCATCGGGTTCGTGGCCACAAGTCCCTTCTTCGCATCGAGCCGTTTCTTGATTCCGTCAAAGATGGTTTTGTTAGTCGCTTCTGCTTGACCGTTGCCTTGAAGATAGTGCGGGGTGGACTTACTTAGCCGTATCTTCCATAACTCGCAGAACCCTTCAAACTTCTTGGAGATGAATTGCGAGCCATTATCCATCACGATCTCGTAAGGTAGCTCGTGGTGGCAGATGATGTATTTCCAGACGAAGTTCTGGACCTTCAAGTCCTGGATTTGAACGAATGCCTTAGCCTCCACTCATTTTGTGAAGTAATCCGTCATGATGAGCATGTATCTCCTTTGGCGCGATGAAGGAAGCGGACCGACGATGTCCATGGCCCATCTCATGAAAGGGTAGGGCAGGACAGCCGATGTAAGCTCAGTTGGCTGGTTGATCATTGGAGCGTGCCTCTGACAGTACTCGCATTTCTTTGCATAGTCTTTGCAGTTTGCAACCATTGTTGGCTAGAAGTAGCCTGACTTCTTGACCTTCATGGCAAGATCCCGTCCTCCGGAATGGTTGACTCCAGCTCCATCATGAGTTTCTTTGATCACGCGGCGGATCTCATCTCCGGCAATGCAGTGCAGTACGACACGCACGGCAGTCCATCACATGAGATGTTCTTTATAAAGTGAATAGTGAGCACTGCGGGCTCGGAGGCGACGAGCAGCCCAACAATCTTTAGGTTCCACGCCATCGGCTAAGTAGGCACGTATTTCATCACGCCAGTCCTCGGGCTCCGGTTCTATTGGTTCCTTGAGCGGGGCATCGGTTTCGTCTTCTTGATACGTGATGGTCAAACGTCATGATCCGGATCGATGCTCGGGGCTTCGATGCTTTGGATCAGGATTAAGCGGCGAAGGTTGGTGTCTTTGTTTGAGGCAAGGGCAGCCAGGGCGTCTGCTTCGGTATTTTCTGCGCAGGGTAACTTGGATAGTTCGAAGGTCTTGAACTCCTTTTCTAAGCTTTGGACGAGCTTAAGATACTTGTCCATCCGGTCGTTTTTGGCGTCATAGTCACCGCTGAACAGATTGGAGACGAGCTGGGAGTCGCAGAATGCCCGGATGTGTTCGATATCCATATCGCGAGCGAGACGTAGACCAGCGATGAGGGCCTCGTACTCGGCTTCGTTGTTGGAAGCCGGAAAGTCTAGGCAAAACAACTGTTCAAGGATTTTGCCAGTCAGAGATTCAAGCTGAATCTCGATCCCCAAGCCGTGTCGGTTGGATGAACCGCCCACGTAAAGATTCCAATGTTGGACTGTGGTGAGGTCGTTGCTGAGAAGCTCGGGTAGCAGCTCGACCAAGAAGTCGGCTAAGTCCTGTGACTTGGCGCAGGTACGGGTGCAATACTCGATGTCGAACTCCAAAAGCTCGATTGCCCACTTGGCCATCCGACCAGATTGGGTCGGGCCGTGAAGAATAGCTCAGAGTGGCTGACTCGTGAGGATAGCTATCGTATGAGATTAGAAGTACGGGCGCACCTTCTGGGATGACATGACCACTGCAAGGGCGAGCTTCTCCAAGGTCGGATATCGCATCTCCGCGCCGTCGAGGCTCTTGCTAACATAGAAGACCGGTTTCTGTTCGCCTTGGTCTTCTCGAATGAGGACACCACTGATGGCCGAGGTAGATAAGGCGACGTATAAATCTCCGTGCCGTCTTTGGGTTTAGCAAGAACCGGTGGCGTCGAGATATAGAGCTTCAGCTGCTGGAAGGCTTCTTTGCACTTGTCGTCCCAGAGGAACCGTTTGTTGCTGCGAATAAGTTGGTAGAACGGGAGGCATTTGTCTGAAGATCGGGAGATAAAGCGATTGAGGGCGGCGCTCCGTTCGGTCAATCGTTGAACCTCGTGTGTGCTGCATGGTAAAGATAGCTCAAGGATGGCTGAGATTTGCTTCGGTTCGCCTTGATGTCGCGTTGTGTGACTAAGTAGCCGAGAAATTCTCCGGATGTAACCGCAAAGGTGCATTTCGCGGGGTTCAGCTTCATCCCGTAGGTGTTCAGGATTTGGAAAGACTCTCGAAGATGGGTGATATGGTGGTCGGCCTTCAGTGAATTGACAAGCATGTCATCGATGTAGACCTCCATTGAGTGCCCGAGCTGGTCGGCGAACATCTTGTTAACCAGTCTTTGGTAAGTAGCACCGGCGTTTTTTAGCCCGAACAGCATCACTTTGTAGCAGTACGTTCCTCTGTTCGTGATCTGATTGTACCCCCAAGAATGCATCCATGAAGGATAACAGCTCGTTGCCGGCGGTTGCTTCTACGAGTTAGTCAATTCGGGGTAGCGGGAAGCTATCCTTAGGACAGGCCTTGTTGAGATTAGTGAAGTCGATGCAAACGCGCCATTTTCCGTTCTTCTTCTTTACTACCATGGGGTTGGCGAGCTAGTCCGGGTACTGAACCTCTTGGATTGATCCGGCTGCAAGGAGCTTCTCGACTTCGTCTTGGATGGCCTGAGCTCGTTTGGGACCGAGTTTTCGCCTCTTCTGTTTGATAGGTTTGAACGTGATGTCAACGTTCAGCTCGTGGCTAGTGATGTCTGGGCTGATTCTTGTCATATCTGCCATGGACGAAGCGAAGGTATGGACATTCTCGCAGAGGAAGGTGATGAGGTTGTTGCGCATACTGGGAAGAAGCTCGGTGCCGATCCTGACGCATCGTTCGGGGTGCTCAATATCGATACTGACTTGTACGGCCAGGTTGTTCTTCGGTTTCTTGTGGTATATAATGTTGGGGTCCAGATTGTCGATGACGAATGTAGATGAGTGTCGGACATGTTGCTCTGCGATGTAGCAAGACCGGGATTAGCATTGGTGGCCACGGATGGTGATGATTCCCCTTCTGCCTGGGTACTTAAGGCATTGGTGGTACGGCGAGGTGACAGCGCGCATGGTACTGATCCATGGCGTCCCAAGAATGACGTTGTAAATGGTTGGTTTGTCAATTAAATCAAATTTAACCGTTGTGACGATGCCACCCTTAGTTGTCATGGGGAGTTTGATCATGCCAATAGTTGAGGTGGAGTCGCTAGCGAAGCCCGTGACTGCTTTCGGGGTGACTTTGATCTGGCTGTCCTTGATCCTCATCTTAATTAAGGTAGTTTTGAATATTAAATCAATAGAGCTGCCGGTGTCGATCAGGATCTTCGAGACTTGATCGGATCTGATACGTAGGAAGATAACGAGCGGGTCATTGTATAGGCGGTCGAAACCTTTAGCGTCAGCTTCCGTAAAGAACCAAACTAAAACGTCTAGACATATGAACCGATCATATCGGCACAATGAAAAATCAATTTAAACCATATATGTATTTTGAAAAATTAACGAGATTCCAATGTCCCCTTAGATGATTCCTAGTTATCTCCATCATCAAATGCTAAACAATTCTTGTTCCAGGGTAAATAGCATTGTAGCCATCATAAGATACTTGTTTTGCTAAGCTGTTTTTTTTGTTTCTTGTCGCTTTGGTAATCATTTTCTATTTCATATGATTTTAGTGAATACAATTATTATTATAGATAGATAATAAACATTTTCATTTTAGGATTTTGTGGCTTGCATAAGGTAGGGGGCTTAACTACTATATAATGTTGTTTATGGCTAATTGTTTTTAAAAATCCCAAAGAATGGTTTCATGCTCTTTGCGGACGTGGACTTGAGGAGCGAGCCCAGTGGACCTTTTTTATGGCCCATTTAAATGTTTTCAATTCTCTCGAATATGACATGAAGCCGTCAACCCGACCCTTTTTCACAGAACCGCCTTCGTCGTCTCTGGGTCAGGGTCTCTGGTGACGAACAACGCCACGCGTGTCTGCCTTTTTGTTCCATTTCTTCTTCCTCTCTCTTCCTCTTAATTTTGGGATTAGTTTCCTCCCCAACCGAGAAAGAAGATGAGTGTGGTAGAACCAGACATGGAAGATCTCTTCCAGGAGAAGAAGCGGGTCAGGAATCCTCTCGTTCCCCTCGGTTAGTCTTTTCCTGTTTCATTTGATCTCAATTTTAACAAATCGTTTTGTTTTAGGCTTCAATTGTAGATTACTAGTCTTAGTTTCTGGATTCTTTATATATATATATATATATATATATATATATATATCGGATCCCTCAACACTATCACTTGATCTCTTTGATTCGTTTACCAGAATTTTGGGATCCTAATTTCTAGCTTCCGAATTTGGTATCTCTGCGCCAGAGAATCTCAAGTTTCTATGGTTCAATGGAATATTTAAGGAGATGGTAGAGATACAGAGACAAGAGACATTTTCCAGATTGTATAAACTCTGTCCATGATAGATGCAGTTGAATTGTTGTGAAGCTGCAAACAGTATTTTTTTGAATATCAGGAAGAACAAATGAGTTTCTTGAATTTACTCTTTCCCTTCTCGTGCTGATTCCTATCATCAAAGGTTATTCCTTTTGGAGAAATCGTTCGACAACTTGTAACTTGGAACCTCACTTAGCAAACCCATGTTCATGTATATGCATATACATTGTTTCAATGTGTCAATCAATGACAAAAGAATCATTGCTTCCACCATAATGAGATACTACTATTACGGCGTTCTTCGTTTCTTTCTTCATACGGACTTTGAACTATTTGCAGGCGCACTTATGACAGCGGGGGTGCTCACGGCAGGGCTGATTAGTTTCAGAAGAGGCAATTCTCAGTTGGGTCAGGTTTTGATGAGAGCTAGGGTTGTGGTCCAGGGTGCTACTGTCGCTTTAATGGTCGGAACCGCCTATTACTATGGTGACAATCCGTGGAAGAAATAATGAGCTTTGATTACTTGTTTCTTGAAAGCATTTTCAGCATAAATGACACACTCATGAGATCGCCGAGCAGAGGTATGTGTGTCCGAGTGTAGGAACCTGCGGTTTATAACTTGTAAGGGATACATTTACATGATTTGAATAATTAAGAACTATAAAGTGTCATTGTATCTTGTTGATCAATTGATTATATTGATTTGAGGAAAATGTCATTATCTTTCACGAGACAATCTCTGTGTTTATTCATGTGCTTTTACACTAATTATGCTTGAGTTTTGACTTCTTGAAAACTCCTTTGTCAAACACGGGACAATTGATCATCACAATTCACAAAAGTATTTACATAGACTACAAAATAACAAATAAGTGCGAGTGAGGGAACATTTAGACTTGAAGACAATGGTGTGTGCCTAATAGAATTTCGTTTTTCCATAGGTGAAGTTTCTTTGTCATAGATAGTCTTGTTTTTTTTCAGCTTGAAGCGGTTCTTGATCCTCTAGATGCGAAAATGTAATCTCAATTATGTTTTTAGCCAATAATGATCTATGGATTAGACACACAAAGAAGGACAGTGGGAAGCTTTTGAATTGAAAACACTTTTAAAACGTGTCTTGGTGTGTGAAATCTCTTATAAGATTTTTATCAATATCAGTGTTATATTACAGAGACTGATGATCTCTGAGCTAAACTCAAAACTTTTTCTTCTTTTCAAACACAAAAATGGTAAGGATGGTTTTGTCTGAAATCCATGAAGCAGAAGCTCCTTCACTTGTAAGTCTTCATCCGCAGCAACAATAACTCTTCTGAACCAGAAAGATCCATCTTCAAGCTCTGTTGTAATCTCGGAATTGTTTGGTTATCTCTGTTCTTGCTTTTATCTTCGTCTTCCTGGGTATCCTCCTCTTAGTTTTCAAATTTCTCCAAAAGTCCCCAACTTTATTTTAGATTTCCAGTTTCAACACCCACCCAGATCTCTCTTCCTCCTCCCCTCAGTTCCACCACCGTGTTCCTTTACCGCGAGTCTGAAAGGAGCCATTAAATTTCTCCGTATGTCTCCGATTCGGACAAGCAAGCTACTTCCATTTCCAATGTATAGACACGTATCTCCTCTCCAACACCCACTTGCCTTCTCTGCAGACGGCCACTCTCAACCTCAAACTTCAATTCCTCAAGATTGTGCTTCACCTTGTCTGGTCATCAGCAGGTCGACCAAGGCAAAGCCTCTGTTTCGAATAAGCTCTTTCTCTGCCCACACAGCAATATCTCGAATGCGATCAATATATCGGGTGCCTCTGTCTTCGTCTCCTCGTGAGGCTAGAACCGGTAAAACAAGACTGGTGGTGTAAGAAAATATAATATGTGTCTATGTTAAAGATATATAACGAAGTCAGGACTTTCGGTTGAATCAAGGAGACAATTGTGGCTTACTTGTCATCAAGTACATCAATCACGACATCTTCACTGTCTACTCAAGTTTGTTTATTACAAAGGCGTACCGTTTGACCTCTACGTACCTAAAAAAAATGTTTGCAGCAAATGCTCTCCTACTGTCGTTCCAACTTTGCTTTAATCCTCTCCTCGAGTAACTCTAGTTCGAGTTCAAACATTCTGTTGAGAGCGTGCATGTTCTCTAGCGTCTCACGCAGCGTTCTGCTATCATTCTCTTCGCATCTCAAATGTTTCATTGGACCATGCAGGATATTGTTCAACATACTTTTGGTTAGCTCCTCTAGTGCTTCCTTCGTCTTCTTGTCCATGACATTGCCGTATTTCGACATGAACTTTCCAACCAAAGCAGCTCTGATTCCCTCCATCTTTTGTCTTAGTTTCTTGATTGTTGGAACCGTCTCCAGCGAATCCCTCCACGCTTCACACTTTCCTGATTCCTCTGTTATTATAACCCGAGCTTCCATTGCTTTCCTCGCCCTGTCTTCCTTATTGGCAGCAACAACTTCCCTGAGGTCATCCACGTTGTAAACCCGTGCACCCTCTAATTCAGCAACACAAGACCCGACGTTTCTAGGAACAGAGATATCAACAAAGAGCCTCGCATCCGCATCTGCAGCAGGAGGGAGAGTCTCCACGTGCTCCTTCAAGAACAATGGCGTCTCAGACGCTGTGCTGGTAAAGATCACGTTGGCTTCAGCAACACAAGATAGCATCTCATCAAAAGGTTTATAGACAATCTCAACGCCAGGAGGCATCTCCTCGCGGATAGCCGCGACTTTCTCTTGGCTTCTGTTCACAACCACCATCTTAGTGCAGCCTTTTGCAACCAGGTGCTTGATCACAAGCTTCCCCATCTTTCCTGCACCAATCACCAACATCGCCGCAGATGATCCCGGAAGCAGCTTGGCGAGGGCAAGCTCGACGGCCGCAGAGCTAACGGAAACAGCCCCAGAGGCGATGTTTGTATCTGTTCTGACACGTTTTCCAGCCGAGATCGCCTTTTCAAATAGCCCACTGATGATAGTCATCCGAAACCCATTGCGCACTTTCTCTTTAGCTTGTTTGACCTGTGCGAGTATCTGACCTTCTCCTAGGACAAGAGAGTCCAGACCAGCTGAGACTTCAAATAGATGCCGCGTGGCGTCCTTGTTGTACAGCAGAAACCAGTGTTGACGAATGTCCGATACAGAGATCCCACTTCTCTGGCAAAGAGACAGCATAGTTAGTCAAGAGAACTCACTCACAGATAAAAGGGGAAAAAAAGGAAACCTTGGACATCCATTGAGTGACTTCTTTGACTCCACGGTGCTGAGATAGAGCCAGAAAATAAATCTCCATGCGGTTACAGGTACTGAGTACAGCAGCTTCTTCAACATGATTCAAACTGCACAACTCAGAGATAGCCTGTGACCATTCAGCTTCTGGAATGGCAAGCTTCTCGCGCATCTCTACAGGAGCTGTGTGAATGCTTAGCCCAATCACCACAATGCTGCTTCTCTCCCTCGTGTATCCTGTTCAATGGGAAACACGTTTGAGAGTAAAACAGAGCGAAACATGAAATATCCATCTTTTTGAGAAACCTTAATCGAATCCGATGAATAGCCTTACACAGGGCACTTCAAAATTCGAAAGGATATAACGAAAACGAATCACGAATCACAAATGCAATAAAAAAATCCCAACATTTAAGAAACCCGAGGAAAAGAAGAAGGCAAGAGATTCCTACTGTCAACAGAGAAATCGAGACGCGGGCTCTCTGGATCAGACCTCGCATTTTCCTATGGTTCGTCGGAAAAGCGGGAACCCCAATCAGATTCGCCGGCGCCGGAGAAGAAGACGGATTATGGTGTCTCGATAACAGTGTTTCCAGCTTCGGGGTGACAACAAAGGCACTAGAAACCGCCATGGCTAAACACACACACACCCTAGAGATCAGCGATCGAGCAGACAAAAGAGGGATTACTATTTACGACGCGATTTGAAAATTCTTCTTAAGAGGAAGGAAAGAAGAAAATCCGGGTCGGGTCAAGCGGATCTGGATCTACTAATACCCGTGAGACGTGGGTATCCGGATCTAATTAGTAAAGAAATATACCAAAACCAATCTTATAATAATTTCCAAAATGCTATAAATAATAATAATGTCGATTTTCTCTAATTAATAAACCCTTCGTAAAGCCCCCACATTCTCTCTTGAAACAGAGAAGCTCTTAAATTCTTTTGTCAATTGTGAAATAGTGGAATAAGCAAGACTTGCAACACAAGAAAGGGCTAACTACGAGGAACGTAACGTATGCGATGAGAAGAATTGTATAATGGTATTTAGTTTATATTATTGTTTCACCAACTAGAATTCAAAGGGATGATGATATTAATAAAGCTACAACGATTATAATCCAAACATAGATTAATTTGCTTACTATGCTCGAGCTACTTCATTTGAAGAAAACATGGGCCGGGAGACAAATGGACAATCAATCACCACAAGACTATTAACATAGACTCTGTTTGTACGGGCAGTTTCATATTATCTGATCCTTTAATTCTTTTTGCAGATGTGAAGAACAAGTGGGACTGAGGGAGAAGAGTTCATGGGGTAGGAAGAGCTGATGCCGCAGAAGAGAAGAGCTCCACTCAATGACAATGACTTTGATCGGTTCAAGATCATGTTGGCCAAAATCAAGGTCAGTATCAGATTTCGATTTAAACATGAATTATTTCCTTGATGATTAACTTATTCCTATGGTGCCATGTTTTTACTACAAATATAGATAGATGTTCGGTCGATTTATGATAGTTTCTTAGTATGTATTAATGCTAAAGCTTAAACTCATATCCATTTCCTTGTTTTAATCACTCTCTGGAATGGTTTTTATGTGTTAATTTGCAGAGGGCTGGTGTGGTAAGGGAAGGACTCCAGGAGCTTGCAATTGCAAAGCTCAAGAAAGAGAGCACCGCTTGATGTTTTTATTTAAAAATGATCCTATGCCTTTCAGATTTATGGATCTTTTGACTGATGATTTCGGTATATACCTTCTGATTGTTTTCTACTTTCGATAAATCGTTGAGGTTTTTATCTGTTAGAGGCACCAAAATATTAGAAGGTAAGCCAAGTTTAATGATTGAAAGACGTTAAAGTGTAAGAAAATGGTGGGCCTAATAAAAAAATTTGTTTGTCCATAGGAGGTGAATTTTCTGAATGTATTTTCAGCTTATTACGATTCTTGGCACTTTAATCAATCGTGACACTCGGCGCAATGAGATAGGGACCATTTCCAGCCATTAATCAACCTTAAAGCTTTCAAAACCTTTGCTGATTGTAGACGAAAGGCCGCCCAAGCTTTAGGTTTAGTCACTGCTCCTAAGAAATCATTACTGTTATGTGAAATTTGACCCACTGAACGTACGACTTGCTCCAATTTCTCCTTCAAACTCTGCAAAATAAATGGTCCAAAGAACAATTTGTTGGATTCTGAATAACCACCAAAAAGAAAGAAAACACAGCACAGTCCTAGAATTAACATTCAAGAACAATTAGCAATTACCATAAGTTCTGTCCCTGTGACAGCCTTAATGGGCTCTTCTTTTTTGTTCAGGCCCATTTCACCTTCTTAAGTCTTCACTTTGACTTTTGACTCAATCGGCTTTTATTTTTTCTTTGAGCCCATATTCGCTTTTTCCCCAAAACTCTGCGTTTTTACATTTTGTACCCAAACTTGTTTGATCTTGCTGGCATGCTATTCTTGTTTGATCTTGCTGGCATATAATTAGAGGAAAGGACAAATAAAATAAGAATATCCAAGAGCTCATCTCCCTCTCATTGGCCTCTCATTTCTATGCATTGGTTCCTTTTGATTCTTATGTCCTTTTGTGTTGTGTTTATACTTTATAGTGATCATTAATCATTAATGATTTGGCGTTTGACTTTTGTTTAACTCATATTTGTTATGTTGAGTTTTACATTCAAATTTGGCTAAGGTTTATTGATCTCTAGTTCGATGTCTTTCTATGACGGATATTATGCTTTATCAATTCCATATTCCTTTTTCTACTCTTCAAATCCAAAATAATCATTTCAGTTAAAATGTTATTATGTAATTTTTTTTTTATCATGAAAATGGAATGATACTTAATCCTCTCTGTACAGAACTTCTTAGGCTGAATTTGATCAGACAGACTTATCAGCAGCGTCTTGCTGCAATAAGATACTCGATCCAAGTTCTTCTTAAAGAGGTAATGTAGATACATGTTCCTAATATTTCTCCTTTGATTACAAACATGTTCTCATTATGTGTCAAACTCTTTAATGATTGCAGCAAGCTTCCCTTAGAGATGCACATACTGCAAAGCCAACCCTCCATGCCCTAAAGATTTCCAACAAAGCCAAGAAGGCTTATTACTAGTAAGTCATTTTTTGTTGATTTAGTTTTTGATTCCAAACTATAAGCGTAGACCGCAAGGATATCTGCCATTCTTTTGACCGCTGATTATATCTTTGCAACATCTATCCATTTTTTTCGACTTTGTCATATTCACAACTTGGACATTAGATCAGAGCCCATCAAAACTATTCCCAGAAAAATTGAAAAATTTGAAGAGCCAAATGTTATTATGTAAATATAGTTCTGAAACCACATTGAAGCAAAAAAAAAACTATGTCGATAGATGAATCAAATGTTTGCACGAAAAAGGAACAGAAAAATATTCATGAAATTGTACTTACGACTTAGCTGACAAGTAAACTGTAGACTTGGATTTTCTTTTCCCCATATGAATTTTTGGTAAAGACATTTTGTCAAGTACACATACATATATTGTTATTTAGAGTGTGATTAGCGAGAGACTTTTACATAATGTATACAATTTTAAATCTAATTATGCTTCACGATCGGTAGATGTAGTTGGATCCCACAAAAACTTAAGATGCTCAAATAACCTTTTGTTAATTGAATTAGTTTGCAAGCTATTGCCTTAATATTTTTTCAAAGAATATAGCAAACAAAATAACCAAATAACCTTAATATTCAATAAACATCTGATTCGATTTTTGCTTGATTCTTTAGTCTATCTAAAAAACATAATTAAACATTATGCCAGAATAACTAAAAGTTATTAAAATTCATAACTTTTTCAAAAGGTTCACAGAAAAAATTGAATTTAACTAGTATTTCAAATGAATAATAAAATAATAAAAGAACTGAAAAAATATTAATTTTATTACTTTTTCCTTTTCATCTTCATTTGATGAGTCTTCTTCAAAATCTTCAGGAGGTTGATACAAATTGACATGGATTCAGACTTAATCAGTAAAAACTGGTTTCTATGTAACTTTGGCGACCCCAATTTGGGCTTTAGCTATCTTGACAAATATATATGATTCTTTCGGCGTATACAAATGATTTTTTTTTTGTCAAGATAGCTAAGGCCCAAATTGGGGTCGTGTTTTCAATGGCTGCAACGATGGAATTGTGGTTGTCTTGCTTGAATCTATCAATTTTAGTTTTAAGTGGTCATGTATTTGATGGTTGAAACATGGATTTAGCATCTTTTGCTTTAGGATCCATCAAAGTAGCTAAATCTATAAGTTAAACCATAAAAGATGACCACTTAAAGAAATCACTGTGTTAATTTTTTTGCTTTATGTTGGTTCAAATATGTTAATTATCTTTCTTAACTAGGAGAGGTCTGCGCATTGCACGGATTTGTTATATTTTGATGTTATATAACAATAATATTTATATTGTAATCTGTTTGTTTGATAATAATATGTAAAAATATTAAAAATCTAATCAAAAATATTATTTTATTTCATATAGATAATAATAAGGATATGTTGTTCTGTAATATAACCATTCAGAAATATATGTATGGTGAAATCTATGACCATAAAATAAAATATTAATATCTTTTAGTCTTTCTAGATTATCAAGATATATAGTACAATTGCCATCTTTTTCTTTTATAGTTTATGTTTGTGTAGTTGACTTTTTTATTGTTGAGAGAATGAACCCGTAATTTAAAGATAGAGTTTGTGGTCGGTTGATAGGATAAGAAGAATTCTTCTGTAATATAATGCATATAGTATATTTTCCATTGGATTTGTGGTAGAACTAAAAGGTTGATTTGCTAATTGAATGCTCTATGGTGTTTGCTATTTGTAGCTTATTGTTTTATTTATTTATAGTATCTAAGTGTTTTTATTAATTTGGTTAAGTGTAGTCATAGTATTTTTGTTAATGTTTTATTTTCTATTTGTTATTTGTGATGTGGTAAAATAATATAGTCTTTTGGTTAATTACGTCAGTTTTTGTTATGTCTTTAATTGTTAGTTTTTTAATTTGGTTTTAATGTCCATATTATTGATCCACAATTAATTAGTGTTGATTTTTTGATTAATTATATTTGACCACCAATTATGATTTCTGTTTTTAATGAGTAGCATTATATATAGTTGCTATCAAATTTAAATTTGAATAGAGTATTTTGATTGGAAGGAGATGAAATTAAATTATTTTGTTTGTTTGTTGGTCATTTTTTTCTTAAGATAATATTTATGTAGTAAAAAAAAATTATCATTACACATGTTTTTATATTATTTTATATTTTAATTATTATTTAAATTTTGAATTTTTTTATTATTTTATTAAACACTATATATAAGTAAAGAAAATGAAAGATGAGACACTATTTATAAGAATTTTAAATTCAAAAAATAAATAATGAAAAATTAAATTATTTTGTTTGTTTGTAAGTCATTTTTTTTCTTAAGATTATATATATGTAGTAAAAAAATATTTCCATAATACATGTCTTTTATATTATTTTTATTTTTTTGATTAATATTACATTTCTAATTTTTTAATCGTGTTATTAAACACTGAATATAAGTAAAACAAAATAAAAAAT